AAACAAGTTCAGACCCGTCGATATTTTTCGCTTTGTTGTCGTGTTTTATCTAAAAATCATCTTGAACAGCCAACATCAGCAACTCCCATTGAAAATGCATCTATGAACACATTTCTCAGCAGTGATGATGCATCATCGATCGCAGCCGAGTATAGAGAAAACAAAACGTGTAGATTCCAAGGTCCGTAGCTGCCATATCACTGCGCAGCCACTAAGACACTGTTTCAGTCTGCAGCATGTTTTGTAGGTTCACATAGATCTCAAGTTTGTCTGTCACAGAAGAAATTTGTGAAAGTATTCAGCGAGGTAAATGAGCATGCTGATTACGAATACTATTAGTTTCTGGAATTATCCACTACTTTCAAAGTTTGACTTACGGACTGGGAGCCGGTACAGGAGGTAAGCGAACAGCTGATAACGAATGCATCACTAGTTTTCTAAATTCCCGATCATCCTTATCGATTGTGCAAACATTAGGTTACGGAGTTAGGAGTTGCCACGGAGGGTAAGAGAAGGCTTGCATCAAGAAAACATAATAAAGAGAGGGAAGAGGAGCAGGGAAATGTGCAAAAATTGCAAATGGCAATTATCATAGTGTATTGACAGGGAGCGGAGCCAGGTATGCCAGCTAGTTTTTCTGTATGCGTCGCTATGTATCAAGCACGATTTGTGAAAGTCGATGAGGGGAATTTGCAGGAAGGCTGGAAACTAGCCCTGCCGGACTTTGATTTTTTCGAGTTTTTTATTTCGAGTCGGAAGATTGGATGCGCAAATGAGACAAAAGTCCAGAATTGCTCAGATATTCAGATGTTAACTATCAGAGCCTTCATTCAATGATTACATTTTTTGAAATGTGCTCACACTCGACACTGCTCTATTTGGAAGCAGAAAAGATTGTAACCATTGTTTTTACATAATTCCTGCGTTTATTTTTCGCTTTTTCACATAATTCCTGCGTTCATTTTTCGCCACAAAAAAAGACTCATAACCCGGCCTCTGGAAGCGCTTGGCAGATGATAAATACACATCAAAATCAGCGTTCGATGCTCTTCAAAGTGACATAGAACAATTAAAATAGCCACTTCGACTGGAAACGCTTCCCTTGTTAGTTCTTGCCACATCAAACACGAAGGAGGAAGACGTTGCTTGGAAATATACCGATGTCAGGATCAAGATGG